GATTTCGGGGCCCTGATGTCTTTTTTCGGTAGAATTTTTAATAATCTAGGAGCCCTGAAGGTTTTTTTTTATGAATTTGGATGAATTTGGGGGCCCTTGAAGGTTTTTTTCCTGATAGAATTTGAAACAACTTTGAGGGCCTTGGTGTCTTTTTGGGTAGAATTTGGTACAATTTGGGGCCCCTTGAAGGTTTTTCTGGAAGCCCCTGAAGGTTTTTTTTTTTGAAGAATTAATCTGGAACCCTTTGAAGGTTTTTTCTTTGGTAGAATTTGAAACAATCTGGAAGCTCTTGAAGGTTTTTCCGTGGCAGAATTTATAACAATTTCGGGGGCCCTGATGTCTTTTTTAGGTGGAACTTTTAATAATCGGGGAGCTCTGAAGGTTTTTTTTTTTATGAATTTGGGGGCCCCCGAAGAAAGGGTGGTTGCGTGGGGCTAGTAGCTGTTAAAATAAAATTGGTTTTGTCAAATGACATACCCTCTAAGAAAAGAGAGGGAGGGTGGGTGGGCGGAGTAAGTAGCTGCTAAGATAAAACTCTCTTTGGCTAATGAGATACCTTCTAAGAAAAGAGAGGGTGGGTGGGCGGGGCTAGTACCTGCTAAGATAAGACTGATTTTGACAAATCAGATATCTTCTAAGCTGTTTATATTTTGCCTTATTTTCTTAATATACATGGTATTCTTGGAAGAACACAATACTCAAAAACATGTTTTTAATTTTTTGTAAAGAAATAAGTATTTTGTAGTTAAACACCGCCTCGCCCCATTGGTTGACGGCGAATAAAAGAAATCATCACAATTGAGACATGGGCGGGTGGGCGGGCTTACAGTTTGCCTTTTTGTTTTAATATGTGTAGAATTCTTTTCACAGCATGACACTTAAAACATGTTTAAATTGGAAAATTTGCGACCTCTGAAGATTTTTTTTTTTTTAAGAATTTGGAATATTCTGGGAGTCTTTGAACGTTTTTTTCTTGGCAGAATTTGAAACAACTTTGGGGCTCTTAGTGTCTTTTTTGGGTAGAATTTGGAACAATCTGGGACTCCTGAAGGTTTGCTTTTTTCTTGAAAGAATTTTGAAAAATCTGGGGCCCCTTGAAGGTTTTCTTCTTGGTAGAATTTGAAACAGCTTTGGGATTCCTGGTGTCTTTCTTGGGCAGAATTTGAAACAATCTAGGATCCCTGAAGGTTTTTTTTTGAAGAATTTGGAATAATCTGGAACCCCTTGAAGGTTTTTTCTTTGCTAGAATTTGAAACAATCTGGAAGCCCTTGAAAGTTTTTTTGTGGTAGAATTTGTAACGATTTCGGGGCCCTGATGTCTTTTTTCGGTAGAATTTTTAATAATCTAGGAGCCCTGAAGGTTTTTTTTTTATGAATTTGGATGAATTTGGGGGCCCTTGAAGGTTTTTTTCCTGATAGAATTTGAAACAACTTTGAGGGCCTTGGTGTCTTTTTGGGTAGAATTTGGTACAATTTGGGGCCCCTTGAAGGTTTTTCTGGAAGCCCCTGAAGGTTTTTTTTTTTTGAAGAATTAATCTGGAACCCTTTGAAGGTTTTTTCTTTGGTAGAATTTGAAACAATCTGGAAGCTCTTGAAGGTTTTTCCGTGGCAGAATTTATAACAATTTCGGGGGCCCTGATGTCTTTTTTAGGTGGAACTTTTAATAATCGGGGAGCTCTGAAGGTTTTTTTTTGATGAATTTGGGGGCCCCCGAAGAAAGGGTGGTTGCGTGGGGCTAGTAGCTGTTAAAATAAAATTGGTTTTGTCAAATGACATACCCTCTAAGAAAAGAGAGGGAGGGTGGGTGGGCGGGGTAAGTAGCTGCTAAGATAAAACTGATTTTGGCTAATGAGATACCTTCTAAGAAAAGAGAGGGTGGGTGGGCGGAGTTGGTACCTATTAACATAAGATCGACTTTGGCAAATGACATTGCCGCTAAGAAAATAGAGGGCGGGTGGGCGGGGCTACTACCTGCTAAGATAAGACTCATTTTGGCAAATGAGATACCCACTAAGAAAGGAGAGGGTGGGTGGGCGGGGCTGGCACAAATTTCGATATACTCTTCATGATCTTTCCATGATTACTGTGTTGTATATCCCGTTGACATCGTCGGAATTTCAACTCAAAACTCTTCATTTTTGTTATATACATTCAGCCGTTAATAACATTTCATGATTTTGGTCTCTATTTTGAACTCTTTTCTGACAATGTTAAAGATCTCTGCAGTAAAATATACTTGGTGCCATTAACTGTTCATCCTTTGTTTCGGGATTATCCAATAGATTTACTTCAACCCTGAATAACTTCACTCACTACTTGAACCTTTCTCAATATAACACTATACGAAACTCTTATAAAACAATGCTGGACTTAGCTTTTGCAAATTTTTGTTGTTCCATAATAAAATCTGATCTTCACGAGATTAGAGAAGATAAATATCATCTTGTTTTGGAAATTTTATTTCACTCACAAAGTATAAATATCAAGCAATTTACTTCTACAGATAGTCAAGTAAGTATATATAGTTATGATTATTTTTATGTGTACTAGGAACTACTCCTATATATTTTTATTTTCTGTAATTGGGTTTTGTACCTGTTGAAAATATGTACATTATTATTAATAGCCGCTAAGAAAATAGAGGGCGGGTGGGCGGGGCTAGTACCTGCTAAAATAGAACCGATTTTGGCAATACCCTCTAAGAAAAAAGCGTAGGTGGGTGGGGCTAGTTCCTGCTAACGTAAGAGTGATTTTAACAAACCTTCTAAGAAAAGAGAGGGCGGGTGGGCGGGGCTAGTACCTGATAAATTAAAACTGATTTTTATAAATGAGATATCCTCTAAGAAAAGAAAGGGCGAGTGGGTTGGGCTAGTACGTGTTAAGACTGAGGTTGGCAAATTAGATATTCTCTAAGCAAGAAAATAGCGACTGGAGCTAGTACCTGCTTAGATAAGACTGGTTTTACCAAACAACGCATCTTCTAAGAAATTGAATTAAATTATTATAAGAAAAGGTACTACAGACACCAAAGCACTTTCATACCTGGAACCTCAAGATTGTTTTAAATTTTTCAAAAAAAGAAACATAGTCCCAAAATTAACTCAAAAACAGGTCAGAATTTTCCAAAAATAGAAGTCCACCAAAATTGTTTTAAATAATTTACAAAAAAAATCTACATTAGCTTCCAAAATAATACACCATGGATACCCAAAAGTCTCCCGAATTAAAAAAAAGCACTGCGGCAGTCAAGGCTTTTTCAGATTCATAAAAAATAAAACACTAAAAGCTCAAAAGATTTTTTCAAGTTCATCCATCAACAAAACACCAGACTCCTTTAAATTTATCCGGAAATAAAGTAAGGTTTTGAAAACTGTGAGAAGGATTTGTTTTACTATTTTCCCCAGACTCACCAGTTGATTGTTAAGAGCGTAGTGGAGAGTTAATGCGTCATTTTCCAGACACCCGGTATTTATTTATTCCAATTTATAGGGGTTAACGAAAAAAAAATTCGCAAAATACAGTTTAATTTTTTCTAAAAAACTGTTAATTTAAAAGGGTCTGAAGCAACAAATTATCAAGGAATTTTTTAAATTTTGCAATCCAAGAAATGTTTCCGAAAGCAACAGGGAACATAAATAAACTGTTTTCTTAGTTATCGACACAACAAATATCTTAATAATCAGCTTAATGTCAAATTCATTACAAAGGAGAAAATAGGTGAAAACAGCTAATCAAGCAGAAGATAAAGAGTAGTCATAAAAACGTGCTTGTGTTTAAATAAAACAAAAATATCATAAGCAAAAATTTATTGAGAAAATGGTTTGCTTTATTTTTGCAGTAAACATTATTGAGTGCCTTAGGAGCATAATATACATCTTAAAAATAAATAAATAAAATTCCAATCTCCTATAAATGGTGTAGAAATGGAAACTTACTAGGAATATTCCTTGTTAGATCAATATATTGGCATTCTTTCCATAGCTTTCGATGTTCAACCAACCTATGCAGGAGAAGACTTTCAGACTCTGGCTAAAACTGCACCGTAAAGTTAGAATATTTTTACCATTATAGGTTGGTTTGACACCGAAGATCGTCCGAAAAGTGCCCTGTATATTGAGCTGAAAGTTTCGGCGAGTTGAAGAGGTTCGACACATCCATAAATTTATTTTCCAAGTTCTAGCGTCTCTTCAGATGAAAGAACAGATTTTTAGATTTTTTTTTATAAAAAACTCGAAGAAATATTAACAGATTACTGGTTGCCTAAACATCAGCTAACCAAAGTTAGGTTATGTTTGACATTTGAGAACAGAATTGTGTGAAGTTGTGAATAATTATCAATCATCACAACGAGGTGGCAAAGCTCACGAAACTTCAACGCCAACTTAATCCGCGATCTCTTATAATCACCTTGTACTGCTTCTGATCCAGATTTGCACTAAATTTAGCATTTTAGGTCAGTTGTTTAACGTGAAACCTGTTATTCACAATTCATTCGCGACTTATTTAGCTTAATAACATGTTATTGAGTTTCAGAAGCATTCAATTAGTAGCTATAAGCCATGCACATAAATCAGTATTATGAATTATTCAAAACATCTACCTGAATGAGCATTTTTGCTAAATTACGAAAATTTGAGCACGTGTAGAACTGAGTAGAAAATTGTTCACAATACAAATTATTGTTGTTAAATTTTTTTTTATATATAAATCAGTTCTTACAAAGAGCATTGCATGTTTCAGCTTCCGGTCGTGCTTTTTCCTCAGAAACTTGAACAAGGGATCGAGCTTTCATGCTCTTATTACATTTACTTCCTATCACTGGCCCTGCGAACGCTATTGCCGCCAGTACGACGAAACCTGTCACAAAAAATTATTAAATCATATCGCTTGATAAGGGTTCAGAAAATTTCCGAGAAATACGTTTGAGATATATTGAATTAGAGCGAGTACGGAAATACGGTTAATCCATCGATTGTACAACCTCTGTATTGTCAAAAGATAGATTACAGGACACAATCAAGAATGTAACGCTATGTTCTTCGCTTAACGTAGAACGGCACAATCTGTATAACAAGGTAAACACAAGACACTTTTTTCCCTCTGTCGTGACCGTCCATTTGCACCTTCCAAAGAGCATCCCCGACAGGCATATAGTTGAGGAAATCCGGGGCAATTTTCAAGTCCTTCGCTTCGTACAGCCCCTGAAACAAGGGCACTCTTAGTCAGTTTTATTAATCTCATAAATTGTAATTTAATCCTAATTAGGTTAAGTCGCAGACTTGAAAATTTTAATACACTTTTCACTCTAAGCTTTTAATAAATTGTAAAATATTTAATACTTCTGGTTATGCCTCAATTCGAGACGGTGAGGATACTCCGAATAAACTTTTCAAGTTGGAATAAAGTAGCTTTATTCGCTAATTATTTTTCGGTTCAAAGCGCAAAATTATTTCCTGGTTGCTCGTGTTGAAATTTCGAGTTTATCATCGAAATTATTCTGGCATATTTTTGTCACGGATGAAGTAAAACGGGAAAGCAAATTTGCGAGGTGGCCAATACTTCGCAAACTTAAATATTAGCAAAAAGCCGGTTTTGAATTTTAATTGGCGGAATTTTTATCAAGACAGAACGATGCATCCGCGAAAATCCGGCGTCAATTTGTCAGGTTATTGTAATCTCAAAAAGGATTAATTTAAAAGGACACAGATAAATCATCTTAAGGATCTAGGTATGAAGGAGGCTAAACACGAAAGCTAAGTGACAGCTGATCCCGGGGGAAATCGCAGCAGGCAGCTGTAAAGCAAAATACATAAACACAAACTAAAGGACGCTAAATGGAAATTAAAGAATAACATATTGCTTTTGGAAATCCACAGTTCTGAAAAATCTCCGGTTCAATCCGTGATTTAAATATTCGTCGCCTGCAGCAGTCGCGAGGGAGTTGCCTTCGAGGAAAAACTTTTACATTGTGAAATTTTAAAGAGCGACTAATTCGAGGCGTGCTCGCAAATGACTGCGTTTGATTAGTCTGCAGGAATCCCTCAAATCGAAGAAAAACGCACCATAAAACATTTATGGCTCATATATCTGATTAGTCGTCTTAATATCGAGTTTGATGGGTTCTCAGCCCCAGACTGGCGTCTTGGTATCAATTAGGGCTCACCGCTAAATAAATAAAATAAAACAAGAAGTTAGCTACTAATTTTTATCAACGAGTCAAGTCTTATATTACAGCATTATTATTTACCTCGTCACATAAGTACAATTGAATAACTACGTTTGTTTAGTAAACGTCAAAATTTGGGTTATGAATCCGCCTAGATTTTCTAAATCAGGGTATATCCAAATAATCTCAATTTTTTATAAAAATTCTATTTTATTCTTTTGCATTTAACAGCTTTTTCCGAAACAGTGCTCAGTAATTTGTTAGCTGACGAAAAGCTCAATTTTTCTTGAACTTTTTTCCGTTCTTCCAACGTTTTCTAAAGAGGCTTAAAGAGGCTTTGGTATCTGTTCTGTTGATTTATTTTGATCTCTGAAAATGATTTCAGTTTTATATCTTTGAAAATCCTAACGGTTTTTCAAAATCGCCAAAATAAAATATGGAAATTTGTGAGAATCCTAAGAATCTGATTCTAAAATCGAAAATTTCGAAAATTCAGGTTTGGAACCATCAACGTGCTTTACTTGGATTCGCTTGTCGAGATCGATATTCCAAAATAATTTGTAGATTGGAACCTTGCCAAAAAGCTCAGCTTTTCTGAAATTTTTGACGCTTTCCTAAACATCTCCGAAAGTGTCCGAAAGAGTTCCTTCTGTCGATTTTGACATCTAGAAAGGTTTTTCAGCTTCATTTTTTTCATAAATTCCTATCATTTTTCCAGAATTGTCAAAACCAAATGTGGGAATTTGTGAAAACCTTGAAAAATTGAATTGTAAAAGCGAAAACTTCGAAACTTTGATCTGGAACTATCAACATGCTGTATTTTTCTTTCGATTCAGATTGTCGAGATCAATATTCCAAAATTTTTTGTGGATTTTAGGCAATCTTGCCACAAGCTCAATTTCTTCGAAATAGCCCTAAAGAGTTTCTTTTGTGTTGATTTCGATCTCTGGAAATATTTCTGAAAGTGTGGCAATTTTTGAGAAAGCAGAAAATTTTGAAGCACCTAAGTATTTGGATCTGGACTGTTGCGCGTAGGGGTTGGCAATTCAAACAGATTGGGCAGTATACCAAATTTATTAGAAGAAAATGTCGCTGGTACGGGTGTTGGTTACAATTATCCCTTGTCTGCTACAACTACAACTACTTCTTCAAGTACAAATACAAATACAACTAATACAACTAATACAACTAACTTCTTCAGGTGCGAGCCAAAAGTTATATATTGACAACTATAGTCATGTGACCGGCCATAGTTGCGGAGTAATGACATGACCTCCTTAATTTTGATTGAGTCGATACTTAGCAATCGCGGAAAAGGAAATGCAACTCAGCTTGACTTCGGACTCGCTTCCTTCTAACAACGCTTGCACATGCTGCCTCAGCAACCCCAATTAAACAGGATATTTCACAACAATGCTATATTTTTCGATTTAGCTTTGTCGATATCAAAATTTTAAAATTGGTATAGATTTTTAGGCAATGTTGCCAAAAGCTCAATTTTTTTTTAATTTTTTTTACACTTTCTCGAACATTTCCGGAACTGTCCAAAGAGCCTAGCGAAAAATGACATATATAAAATACACTTTATGAAAAATATCTGCAACCAACTTTATCAAAGTAAAAACATTGAAGAGTTGTGTAACAATTATAACAAAATCTGATCTTTAATAAAAGACTTTTACAAACAAGTTTTCATATTTTTTATCAGATTTATGAGATTACCGTTCTCTTAAATTCATTTTCAAAAATATATATTTTTCCGATTGCATGAAATTTTTTTTCCCTGTTTTCTTTTAAATCCTGTTCTGGTTAGTTTGGCTATAAATATTGGAACTTTTTTAGATTGATAAAAAATTTCGCTTTAAAACTGCATTTTCTTTTTCCATTTTGTTTCGATTTCCTTTACTTTATTAAGGAACTAAATATAAAGTAGGACCTAAGATCTTAACAGACACTACACAGGAATGGAATATCGCAAGCGTCCAATGCCTCCAGGAGACTTCTACATGCAATTAATTAAGGAATATCATATAATATTGTAATTTTTTTTAATTATTTTCAATTTTCTCATTAAAAGTATACTCTCGCACAAATATTTCAGCATTTCAGGTTTATCATTGATTTTCAATAATCTTCAATAATCACAAAATTCAGATTTTCTGAGAAATCGGTCGTTAGTCAACGTTGTCTTATACCCTTAAAAAAATTGTTATATTATTTGCGAAAATTTGGATACCCAGAGTAAAAGTTAAGGCGAATTCATAAACCACAAGTAAACTAGTATGTTATTTTATAAAATTTGGATAGCATATACTAAACAAAATTTTGAGGTGATGGTCAGCGTTTTACAATCTGCACAATATATCTAGAATACATGTAAAATTTACCAACAATCAGTCCGGTAGTTTCAGGGACTATCTCTCTAATAAAATCGACACAGACAAATGGCGACAGATAGCATACAAATGGAAACGGGAGCCCTATTTCTTCATATTCTAGGGGGCATAATGCGTCAAAAAAACATGAAAGTACATAGATACTCCTATTCTGCTTACACTGTATTCAATATGTAAACACTGAAACGATTTTTTTTTTATATGAGGTTAAAATTCTTGCAAATCATTGTAATTAGTTTTTGTAAATTTAGACATTTTGATCTTTGGTTTATATATTTAGCAAAAAGTGTTACATATGTACAGGAGCGGTTGCTGCCTTGTGCAAATTTTGATCATTTTTTTGTAAAAGTTAGTCATTAGTAAGATTGCTAAGATAAAACTGATTTTGGCAAATGCCATATCCTCTAAAAAAAGATAGGGTGGGTGGGCGGGGCTAGTAATTGCTAAGGTAAGACGAATTTTGGCAAATAAGATACCCTCTAGGAAAAGAGGGGGTGGGTGGGCGGGGCCAGTACCTGCGAAGATAAAACTGATTTTAGCAAATGCTGTATCCTCTAAGAAATTTAATTAAATTATTATCAGAAGAAAAGTCACTAGAGGCTCCAAAGCACTTTCAAATTCTTTACCCAACCAGGAATACATAGAAAACCAAGATTGTTTAAAAAAAAACGGGGTCCCAATATTAACTGTCAAAAACAGGTCAAGTCAGAATTTTCCAAAAATAGAACATCAAAGTTCCCCAAAATTTTTTTACATAATTTACAAAAAAAAATCACTAAATCACTAAAAGCTCACAACACCAGATTCCTTTAAATTTATCCGAAAATAAATCACCAGGGGACCTAAAATTAACTGCGAACATTTTAAACGTAGGGTTTTGAAAACTTTGACCATTTTTGATATGTCAAACATTTTTAACTGCTTACTTACAAGATTCCTATAAAATAAAAACCTAAGTAGCCTCACTGACGATTCAGTCGTAGACGTTCTTATGAGTTTGCATTATTGTAAAAATTAATACTAAGAATCCGAGCGCAGCGAGCACGTGTGGGTGTTTTAAAAATTACTCGCCAATGTCCCTCAGAAGCTAAATTATTAATAAAGATCGTTTTATTTTCTAAACAAGTGAATCGTAAAAATGTTTGTGGGGACTTTCAGCAGTCTAAATGTGCTCATTGCGCTCGTATTGTAATGGTGTGTCTTTTTAAATTCTATGGGCTGCGTCTTTTTTTTTCGTAAGTCCTTCATTATCTAAAATTTTGACTAGAATGAGTCACATGCTCCGATAAGAGCATCTATCAGACAAAGAGAAAACATTTAAAGAACGTCTATAAATATTAAATAACTTCTCTGCGACTCTATCGTGCACATTTCTATTAGATAAAGCTGAAAAAAGAAATGTAATATGGGAGCACAGCGAGTACGTTCAGGTGTAATTTAAAATTATTTATTGGTGTCCCTGAAAAGTCAAATTATTAAGAACAGTGTTGTTATTTAAAAATGTAAGTTTAAAAATTGTTTGTTATCAGTTATCACAAATTGCTGTGGGACTGAAACATCCTGAACGTGCTCGCTACGCTCGCTTTTTGGAGGTGGTTGTTTCAGTGTAGTTTACCTTCATAAATTCAGAAAGATCAGGAAGGTAAAGAATTTAGGAAATTGGTGTCATAATGATCAAAACTAATATTTTTATCTCGCTCCACTTGTATAAAAGTGTCAAAACTTACATCTAAGGATGATATGAGATGTTATTGCTGATGAAATGCTGATAAAAGCGGAGACGGAGACCAAATCATGACTCATTTACACGTTTTGTTTACACCGTTGCTATGGAAACCGTGCGTCTAGGAGCGGTATTGGGTTGGAATCGGGTTCTGTGCCTACAGCGCCCACCGGCAGTAACTCAGTTACGGGTTTTAATTTTCTTTCTGCGCGAGTGAAATTGTTTAATTTCAAATAAAAATAATGAATTCGCTTGAATATTTAATAAAGACGGTAAAAGTTAAGTGAAAAAAAAAATTCAAAAAGTCACGAGCCGCTACTAAGATAATATAAGAGACACTTCGACTTAGTGCCTAAAAAAAGATAATATTGACAATTTTTGTGAACATTAAAGTAGAAGAGATCCCAACACTGAATGTGCTCGCTGCACTCGCGTTCTATTTTTTTTTAACAGTAAGTCTGGAAATTTATTATGAAGCCTAGACAGCTTCGCTGAGATTCTTCTTAATCAGTTCTATGAAACTAAACTGCAAAGAAAGGAAGCTTAGAATGCGAGCGCAGCGAGCACGTGCAGGTGTTATTAAAAATAATTCACTTCTGTCCATGAGAAGCCAAAATATTAACAAAAGAAAAATATTTATCGTGTTGAAAACCTGATCTAGCCTGTCCTGACCTGACTACCTGACCCGAACTGACCTGATCGTGAATCTTAAAAAGAATTGTGATTACTATTATTACAACCGAACCAAAACAACTTCACTAAGACACTTTCTTCTCCAGAAACGAAATTTAAAACAAGAACGGTTATAATGGGAGTGTAGCGAGCATGTTGAGGTTTAATTTAAAAAAATTGGTCTAAATTTCTTTATTTCATCAATAAAAATAGACTGGCTCATTTTTTTAGGTCACCTTCCTTATGTAATTAATGAATGCATTCATTGATAGACCGTAAGAATGGAGTCATAATATTTTGTTTATTTTGTGTAGGATTTATTCGATAGAATTTTGAGCTGATTTACATTTTTTTTTTACATAAATATGGGTAAATTTTGATTCACGATTTATTAGGCATGCGATAAGCTTACAACGTTTGCAAGATGGTAGACGACGGACAGACAGACAGATAGACAGACGGACGGAAACCGGAGACGTACTTTATCGTACTCTAGATTATGAAGATAGCCATTCCTCCGATGGACCCTATAGGAAAATAGGTTTGCGCTCAAATGCAGAAGACATAGATCTTTAAAATTTCATTTTTTATAGATATTTGACCATCTTCTAATTCACTACTACATAAAATCGATCGGATTTTAATTATTCAAAATAATTTTGGAAGTATCATGTCTTTATCCATAGTTTTCTTCATTTTATAGTAAGTATTACGAAAAAATTAAAATGTATTCAAAATGACCACAGCAGATAAGTTTCCACCTTTTTTTTTGACGTAAAGAATTTTATAATTATTTTTCTCAGTTGACTGACACTTAACGAAAAAAGAATTCAGATAAATCGGATCAAACTTCAAAAAATTTGCCCAAAAACAGATAACTGTTCACATTTTTGTTTCCTAGTTTAAGTGCGGAAAAAAGTCACACTTTGAACAACACTGCATTGGCGATGCACATAAAAAGAACGAGAATAAATCCAGTAAACGGACCTTATTAAACATTAGTTCCGACAATGATTTTACGCAATTTTGCACCGGTTTATGTAGGGCATTTACCGCAGCAAATATTCCATGGAATAAAGTTAGTTGTCCTGAGTTTAAAAATTTTATGCATAAATATCCAGAAACGCATTTACTCTCAGCAAGTACTGTGAGAAAAAATTATTTACCAAAAGACTACGATATGGTGAGCACTAGAATTTTTATTTAAAAACTTTTTAACATAAATTTTATAATTTACGTGTAATTAAACAAATTAGAAATTCTATTGGTAATAATAATATATGGATCAGCGTCGATGAGACGACGGATAGATTAGGAAGATACATAGGCCATTTAGTAATTGGAAAGTTATCTTCTGACGAAGTTGGCCCTCCATTTCTACTAGCTTTGAAGCAGCTTGATAAAACTAATAGCAACACAATCATGAAATTTATAAACGAATCATTGGGTGTACTATTGATAATTTTAAGCATTGAAATTATTATAATTTATTTAATTGTTAATTTGCAGCTTTATTGTGGTCAAAAGAAACTGAACACAAAAAAGTTAAACGGTTTGTATCAGATGGTGCTTCAGACATGATCAAAACTGGTACTAATTTGAAGGTGTTTTATGAAAATATAACACACTTAACATGTATGGTAAATGGGTTATATTTAGCGTCTGAAATAATTAGACAATGGGATAATTAGCAATGTTAAGAAAATCTTTTTAAAAGCACCAATAAGAGTAGAGTTTTATAAAAACAGTTTACCAAATACCTGAAATTAACCAGGTGAGACACTTGGATTCAAGCAGCATTATTTTATGCAGAACACTTTGATGTTTTAAAACAAGTCAGTAAATATATAACGGTTTTTTACTATCGTTCTTATATTGAATATTTTAGGTTGTAATGTCATTTGAAGCCACAGATGCACAAAGCATTAAAAAAGCTCAAGAATTCCTGAACAAAGCAAACGTTAAAAATGAACTCTTGTACATTAAAACTCACTTTAAAATCATTGCTGATGCAACAGAACAATTAGAAACTATAGGTTTAAAACTAAACCAAAGTATGGAAATTGTGGAAAAAGTGTACACATCTTTAAAAAACATACCAGGAAAGGTGGGGGAAATGGCGTTCCAAAAATTATGTTCTCTATTAAAAAAGAATCCAGAATACGAATTTATATGTTCAGGAAATAACATAATTTGCGGTAATGGAAATGCTACCAACAATACATACATAAATGAAAACGTAGATTGTTCAATATTTAATTTTGCACCCATCACTTCTTGCCATGTGGAACGCACGTTTTCAAAACTTAAAGTGTTTTAAGCGATCAAAGGTGTAAATTTATAATCGAAAATTTAGAGAAATATATAGTTTGCTTTGGAACTCATTTTAAATATCTGAATTAATATTTAATTTTTTGTTAAATGCTACTTGCTTTAATTTGATCGCCATTTTTTTGCGATAACTTAGAACTAGTGGCCGCAACTATAGATAGTTTGTTCATTTAATCATTTTTTTGTTTGTGTAATCTTTCGTTTAATGTTTTTTTTTAAATATATATTTTTTGATGTATGCTTTTTCGTAGAGCAAATATTTTTTCCTCCAGGTTTTTAACCTAAACTAAGATTTTTATAACCTAATTTGTCAATATTGGGAGCTAAAAATGTCTCCTTATTATCACTAACTATTATTAGTTATAGAATAGTAGAATTAATCCCTGAAACAACTGTTTATTTCTTCTTCCATATGCATGGTTCATAGAGTTCCAATACTTTTACATTAAGCAATCAGAAATTTTATATACTTCCCACTCTCTATAAGGTCACTAACCCATAAAATGGAATTAAATTATTACCAGATATATTTTATTGTTTCCTATTTTACTTATCGCAACATTTATAGTTTTACTATTCCTTTTCCCGTTCATTGCCAATTATCTGCTTGAATTGCTCACATAAACTTAAACAGACATTTTATGCTTTCTCCCATGCGGTACCCTGACTGACCAATTTTCAATGCAACACAATATACATCTTATCAGTAATTGCTAGATTCCAAAATCAACACATACGTTTTTAGCATCAACGTCGGTACTCTTCTTACTAGTTGTCACTGTTTCTGAAAAACCTCAATCAAAATTTCAAAAATGAAGAATTAAAAAAACACCAACATTTTAATTCAAAGAAATGCAATAAATAAATTGGACAATTAAATAAATTTAACTAGAGTAAATATTTCTTAGCGTTTTTTCTAAACATCTAAAGATTTGGTCGGATGGATGTTGACTATCGGGATATCTTTTTTCGTAGACATTTTCTGCTGCAACGCATTTTCCAAAAATCAAGATCATATCAACCTTTTCATCTTATCGCGAAAATTAAAAACTTATAGGAGCTCAAAATTGACAAATAAAAATATTGCGAAAGTCAAAATTGACTACTAGATAACTATGTACATTTCAGAAAACTAAAATATAAAAAGAGCTACATATGAGACATGTATTTTGTGTTGCATTGAAATTTGGTCAGGGTCCCGTTATTATAATACTCACCCTCTATATCTATACTCTCACCAAAAATTTAAATTTTGAAGTGATTATCACTTCCAGAAAACATTCCTTTTGTTGTAAATTTGAAAACGACTTACCGGTTTAATCGGACACTCCAACGGCGTCGTGAAAGCCTCCATAAACCGCGACCACAATTCACCTTTGGCCACCATGAACGTACATATGTCAGTTACGTTGTAATCCTTCACGACCTGCTCGCAACTGTCTGGATTCCCTGAAGCGTCACATTTCCAGAAGTTGAACACGATCTGCAGCCAAAATAAATTGTGCTGATGCTGATTCAGTGTGATAATTAATCATTGGGATTTTGGGACGTGCAGAATAATTATGTTTTAATTATAGAGTTCTGATTAACTACCGAGGATCTAAACAGAGGCTATATTGAGGTAGCGTCTTCCTCCACGGCGGCGCGTTGACAAAATGTTGACTCAACGATATATGGAAATTAAAGTTAATTAAGGGGCTGGCTCAAGAAGCCTGTAATTCGCTTTGGGATGGCCTGTAATTTCGAAAACGAAAGTAAAAACCGAGTTTAACACGAGCGATAATACAATGTGGTAAGACCGGGCTCGATTGCGTTGATCGAATCATTCGATGACTGGGAGCCGTGGGATTATCGGCTAGAGCGGTGTTTTATGATTATTACTTTGGTAGTTCATAGTTTACTGCGTGGGTATGTACAGTGCATGTACGAAGCCACTAACCTAAACTATTCCTGATGACTTCATTTAATCGCTAGAACGGTGATGAGGTACTACGTGTAATAATAACAGACAAAACGGGCTTCTACGCGAATTAGAAGCTCCATTTCGCACTAGTTGTTTTCGTTCATCGAACATGAATTTTTTATCACATGCATAAAAGTGATCCAGTTTTGCCTGCAAACATGAAACTCTCATTTTTTAAAACGTCAGCCTACACGTAAAATGTGGGAGAACCGGGTGCGTGCACCAGATCAATAGATCAAATCGAGTATATTACGCAAATGAAATAAAATCCTGATTTAAAAAGTTAAATCCTTGGTACAGTCTGAATAAACAGGTGCTGCACAAATCTGAATACATTTCGGATGAACGCAGAAGTTTGATCCCACCATCGACACTTCACCTCATGTTTTTGACGGAGTTTAGAACATCTCCCAAAGTTCGTAGCAAATAATGCCAACTTAAATCCGTCGATGTCACGAAGCAAAATCCGTCTCACGTTCCCAGCATAAATATGATCAATAGACGTGTATCTAAATTAAATTAGTTAAACCGTGAAAACGAAAAGGAAATTTTGTCTAAATCTCAAAGCAGATTTGAAAATTGGGTGAATGGGGGAAATGGATGATTTGTGATATTTCGATCTGGTGACTTGTGCATTGTGTGGAATCTTACTGAAAAGGTGGTGCTAACGAAAATTGGTGAAATAAATCTAACTATTCAGAGTAGATTATTTGCAGCGAGTCCCATCTTCGCCATAGACAGACCTACATTTTTCTATATCTTCATATAAATTTCCTTAAATAAGTTACAAAAAGTCACTTACTGAAAGTAATTATTCCCTCGACTACGCCTCGGAGGTGAACAATGACGTTAATCTGACACCAAAAATTGTCTACCAGGTTCCACTAAAAATTTAATATCCTTATATTTTTGTCTTTTCGTACCTGACACCAGAAATAGTATTTAATTAAGTACAAGTTTCTATTAAAAAATGTTATAAAGTCATTTAGCCAAGGATAATCTGCGTCGAGTCCCCTCTTCTTCACATATCAGATGTACAATTATATAAATTTAGCTGGCTTGCAATTCAAAATGGTGACTTGTGCATTCTGCAACATTTCACTGAAAAGTGCTTATTTCAGCATGGGCTTCATTAGTACTCAACATCGTACTACTTCAAGCAAAGCAAACTTTCACGAGCAATGAACATGATATTTTAATAAAACTGAGCATAAACTGTGGACACGAGGCGTAACCGAGGTTTACTGAAACACTTGTCTCCAGAAATTATTTAATTAAGCATATAGTTCTATTAACAAGTTTCCATCATTTTCTGTTTCTTTTGCGCATTTGAAATTTATAAGGCTGCACCGACTTAAATATTTTAAAGATCAAATAACATAAATTTAACTAATTACGCTTTTTCTAAGGGTTGCGTAAGGATCGTCAGAAAATAACGCTGATTCTAAGACAGGTCAAATTGATCAACAACAAATGATAGGGGTCCTAAAATAGGTCCAAATAGTCCACAGAAAATAATGCCGCTCCTAAAACAGGCCCAATTAATCGAAAAAAAAATGATAGTGGTCCTAAGACAGGTCAAATTGACTGATCAAAAAAAATAGGGATCCTAAGACAGGTCAAATGATCGACATAAAGTGATGCCGTTTTTAGAACAGGCCAAATTTGTCAACAGAAAATGATGTCGATTCTAAAACAGACCAAATGAGTCGATAAAAATTATGCCGGTCCTGACATAGATCAATTTTATCGACAAAAAATGATCAGGGTCTTAAGATAGGTCCCAATAGTAGATAGAAAATGATACCCTTTATAGAACAGGCCAAATTATTCGACATAAAATGACATTGGTTCTAAAACAGGCCAAATTGATCGACAAAAAATGATGCCGGTCCTAAGACAGGTCAAATTTATAAACAAAAAATGATGGAGGTCCTAAGACAGGTCCAAATGGTCGACAGAAAATAATGCCGTTTCTAGAACAGGCCAAGCTAGCCAACAGAAAATGATGCCGATTCTATAACAGACCAAATGAGTCGACAAAAATTATGCCGCTCCTAACACAAATCAAATTGATCGACATAAAATGATCAGGGTCTTAAGATAGGTCCCAATTGTAGATAGAAAGTGATACCGTTTATAGAACAGGCCAAATTACTGGACAGAAAATGACATTGATTCTAAAACAGGCTAAATTAGTCGACAAAAAATGATGCCCGTTCTAAAACAGGTAAAATTGATCGACAAAAAATGATGAGGGTCCTCAGATAGGTCCAAATACTAGACAGAAAATGATGCCGTTTCTACAACAGGCCTAATTGCTCGACAAAAAAGTATGTCGGTTCTATTTAAAACAGGTAAAATTGATCGACAAAAAATTATCAGGGTCTTAAGCTAGGTCCCAATAGTAGATAGAAAATGATACCGTTTATAGAACAGGCCAAATTATTGGACAGAAAATGACATTGATTCTAAAACAGGCCAAATTGGTCGACAAAAAATGATGCCGGTTCTAAAACAGGTAAAATTGATCGACAAAAAATTATCAGGGTCTTAAGCTAGTCCCAACAGTAGATAGAAACTGATACCGTTTATAGAATATGCCAAATTACTCGACAGAAAATGATATTGATTCTAAAACAGGCCAAATTAGTCGACAAAAAAATATGCCGGTTCTAAAACAGGTAAAATTGATCGACAAAAAATGATGAGCGTTCTTAGATAGGTCCAAACACTGGACAGAAAATGATGCCGTTTCTAGAACAGGCCAAATTACTCGACAGAAAATGATATTTATTCTAAAACAGGCCAAATTATTCGACAAAAAATATGCCGGTTGTATTTAAAACAGGTAAAATTGATCGACAAAAATTATGCCGGTCCTAAGACAGGTCCAAATAGTCGACCGAAAATGATGCCGTTCCTAGAACAGGCCAAACTAGTCAACAGAAAATGATGTCGATTCTAAAACAGACCAAATGAGTCGATAAAAATTATGACGGTCCTAACATAGATCAAATTGATCGACAAAAAATTATCAGGGTCTTAAGCTAGGTCCCAACAATAGATAGAAAATGATACCGTTTATAGAACAGGCCAAATTATTGGACAGAAAATGACATTGATTCTGAAACAGGCCTAATTAGTAGACAAAAAATGATGCCGGTTCTAAAACAGGTAAAATTGATCGACAAAAAATTATCAGGGTCTTAAGCTAGGTCCCAATAGTAGATAGAAAATGATACCTTTTATAGAACAGGTCAAATTATTCAACAGAAAATGACATTGGTTCTAAAACAGGCCAAACTGATCGACAAAAAATGATACCGGTCCTAAGACAGGTCAAATTTATAAACAAAAAATGATGGAGGTCCTAAGACAGGTCCAAATGGTCGACAGAAAATAATGCCGTTTCTAGAACAGGCCAAGCTAGCCAACAGAAAATGATGCCGATTCTATAACAGACCAAATGAGTCGACAAAAATTATGCCGCTTCTAACACAAATCAAATTGATCGACATAAAATGATCAGGGTCTTAAGATAGATCCCAATTGTAGATAGAAAGTGATACCGTTTATAGAACAGGCCAAATTACTGGACAGAAAATGACATTGATTCTAAAACAGGCCAAATTAGTCGACAAAAAATGATGCCGGTTCTAAAATAGGTAAAATTGATCGACAAAAAATGATGAGGGTCCTCAAATAGGTCCAAATACTAGACAGAAAATGATGCCGTTCCTAGAACAGGCCTAATTACTCGACAAAAAAGTATATCGGTTCTATTTAAAACAGGTAAAATTGATCGACAAAAAATGATGCCGGTCCTAAGACAGGTCCAAATGGTCGACCGAAAATGATGCCGTTTCTAGAACAGGCCAAACTAGTCAACAGAAAATGATGTCGATTCTAAAACAGACCAAATGAGTCGATAAAAATTATGCTGGTCCTAACATAGATCAAATTCATCGACAAAAAATTATCAGGGTCTTAATCTACGACCCAATAGTAGATAGAAAATGATACCGTTTATATAACAGCCCAAATTATTGGATAGAAAATGACATTGCTTCTAAAACAGGCCAAATTGGTCGACAAAAAATGATGACGGTTCTAAAACAGGTAAAATTGATCGACAAAAAATTATCAGGGTCTTAAGCTAGGTCCGAATAGTAGATAGAAAATTATACCTTTTATAGAACAGGCCAAATTATTGGACAGAAAATGACATTGATTCTAAAACAGGCCAAATTGGTCGACAAAAAATGTTGCCGGTTCTAAAACAGGTAAAATTGATCGACAAAAAATTATCAGGGTCTTAAGCTAGGTCCCAATAGTAGATAGAAAATGATACCTTTTATAGAACAGGCCAAATTATTGGACAGAAAATGACATTGTTTCTAAAACAGGCCAAATTAGTCGACAAAAAATGATGCCGGTTCTAAAACAGGTAAAATTGATCGACAAAAAATGATGAGCGTCCTTAGATAGGTCCAAATAGTAGACAGAAAATGATGCCATTTCTAGAACAGGCCAAATTACTCGACAGAAAATGATATGGATTCTAAAACAGGCCAAATTATTCGACAAAAAAATATGCCGGTTCTATTTAAAACAGGTAAAATTGATCGACAAAAATTATGCCTGTCTTAAGACAGGTCCAAATGGTCGACCGAAAATGATGCCGTTCCTAAAACAGGCCAAACTAGTCAACAGAAAATGATTTCGATTGTAAAACAGACCAAATGAGTCGATAAAAATTATGCCGGTCTTAACATAGATCAAATTGATCAACAAAAAATTATCAGGGTCTTAAGCTAGGTCCCAATAGTAAATAGAAAATTATACCGTTTATAGAACAGGCCAAATTATTGGACAGAAAATGACATCGATTCTAAAAGAGGCCAAATTAGTCGAAAAAAAATGTTGCCCGTTCTAAAACAGGTAAAATTGATGGACAAAAAATATTGGAGTTCTAAGACAGGTCCAAGTAGTACGAAAAGAAATCAGGACGGCGGACAGATGGACAGACAGACGGACGGAAACGGCAGACTCATTACTTCGTACTCTAGGGGTCATGAAAGGTCGAGAAAATGTAAAAGTAGAGAGTCGGTCCAAGGATTTCATTCATAACAATACTTCTTAATGTTTTGCCTTTTTTTTTCTTAATATACATAGCCATCTTTTCGTAACAAGAAACTTAAAACATGGTTAAAATGGTTCATGCAAGGAAATATGGGTTTTGCAATTATGGGGCGGAGCCTAATTGCAAAATCGATATTTCCTTATACAAATTTTCCATTTAGAACATGTTTTAATTTTCATGTTGTGAAAAAAAGTCTACACATAATAAAACAAAAAGGCAAAATGTGAGCCCACCCACCCACCCTATCCCAATTGTGATGATTTTTTTCATTGGCCCTGAACCAACGGGATTCAGCTTAACTGCAAAGCACTTATTTCTTTACCAGAAATTAAAAACATGTTTTTCAGCCTCGTGTTGTTCAAAGAATACATGTATATTCAGAAAAAAAGGCAAAATATATACCCCGCCCACCCACCCGTCTTAATTGTGATGATCTTTTTTGTTTTTTTAAACTTAAAACACGTTTAAAATGGTAAATTTTAAACGTATTTTAGGTCTGTCAACGAATGAAAACTTCATTATTATTTAGATCAAGGCAGTTATGGGTGGGGCTCAATCTTTGGCTTTAAATAAAAAAACATGTTTTTTATTTCTTGTAGAGAAATAGGATTTTGCAATTAAGCTCCTCCCCCTTGACTCACGACGAATAAAAAAAATCATCAGAATTGAGATAGGGCGGGTGGGCGGGGCTTATATTTTGCCTTTTTTCTTAGTATGTGCAGACTTGTTTCGACAACAAGAAACCATGTCTAAAATGGTACATTTCAATTTAAAAACTTTTTTTATAAATTCCTAAAGAACGAAAATAGATGTGAGTATTTTGACAAAGATAATTTGTAGCGAGTTCCCTCTACTTGATTAAATGGATATAAATTTTCTATTTTTTAGATGCGTTTGTTGCAATACGTTGCAAGTATTTAGTTTCGGTCCATAAATATTCTAACAAAGCGCGACTTCGCCTAACAGTTCAACAAATAACCAAATCTTAATTTTCACCAATTTCAGACTAATTAGCAGCTTCCTATACAAATTTTCAAATTTTTTTCGAGAATAAAGTGACATCAAGAGGTAGTTGAGTGCTACTAGGACGTTTTAGGACAGAATTTGCGTATTTTTGTACGAAATTGTACCCTTTGAAGTAATTCTATTTTTCACTACTTATAGACATATAAATTGCATTTAAGAGATTGTGACAAGTTCCCTTACAGAATATTTTTCTTAAGAAGGTTATTTAATTTTCGAACATTTCGAGATTATTTTCCAATTAAACCCGACTTATCCACAGGCTGGCAGAATTAATTTGAATAATCCGCAAAAGGTGAGCTGTTCGGGGTTGGTGGTCTACAAACCTCAGCTACGCCTCGGGGTAAAAACACCCTGAGCCGTGAAACTTAATTTTCGCTGGGACTTTGGGTTATTGTAGTTAATAAAATCAATGATAAGCTTTGCACCCGAGGCGTAGCCGAGAGTTTCCAGAAGAGTTGACACGGAAAACTACTACTCTCAAGCATGTTTCAGGGTTTACTTCTATTTTTCTCTTTTTGCACGTTCTATATATACAGTTACTGAAAAATCGAAGAACTTTATTTTTTTAACGATTTATAACATCAATTGTAGCGAGTCCCCTCTTCCTACCGAAATAGTGTCAAATTTGGAGTGATGGCTTTAACAAAAATTCATACCGAAAAGTCTTTGCTGACTTCTTTCTTGTTCCTGACTTTAATGGAAGCCGTTATGTCTCCGGTCTTGTCGTCGTGTTTGGAGGCGAAGTCGTACCATATCATGGGCAGTCCCTGCTGTCCCTTGCACTGGCCTAAGCTGCGTATTACCACCTTCTTCTTTTGCTGGAATAAGTAAGAGTTAGTGTAAGACGAGGATCTGCGGGTCCATTAATAACGCTCATCGTAATACGGGGCCATCAGGGCATCAGCCGTTTGTTTTATTATATATGTGTTGGGGAGCGAAGCAACATAGCGACTTTTGCCGAGTTTTGCGATAGGATAAACGCCGCGAGCGGCAATCCAGTTTAACACCCCCCTAAAATAAGCGCAGGGCTTAAATCGTTAAATTTGAATAGTTTTTTCATCAGGACCGTCTTCCCCGAATGGCTGTTTTACTGTATTGTTATTCAAATGTTATAAGATAAATAGAGCTTTGTTACTTTTTCATGACAGCCGTGATCGTAAATAGAATTGTAAATACTCGAAGAAAATTGGGCTCTTCCTTCAGATGGGAATGTCCCGGTTTTATTTTCGGAAAATTAGCACGGAATAAACACGTCGCCGAATTTTCCGGCCGCGCAATTTTCCATATTGTTGCGATCTAGGGGCGCTCTGCTATTGACCCGGATTTCGCGGCTGTGCGGTTTTCATCATTTTTGATTCATGATCTTCAACCTGTTTTGGCTTTAATCGCACATTAGGGATAATTGTTTGGAGTGCGCATCCACGCCGTGCCCATTTTTGTATAAACATTTTCCACTTCACGGTGCAGTAAACATCCGAACGCGACCGATTTTTTTTTCCATTTCCACTCAGGGTTGTTTTATCGCTTAATAGACGCTGATGGCGAAATAATTGCCGGACCGTTACCCGCAAAAATTTAAATTCACTGCTTATTTTCGCCGGCGTTGCATTTTTTAGTTATGATGTGCACTAGCTTGCTCAAAAACAACAACTCGTATCAATACGATATTCCGAGAGGCGAGAAAAGCGTTAATTAACAGGAAGTGATATTTGTCTTTCAGAACAAAATGTTTTGAAGTGTTGGCTCACACGGACAGACAGACAGACAGACAGACAGACAGACAGATAGACAGACAGACTGACTGACTGACTGACTGACTGACTGACTGAAACGGGAGACCCATTTTTTCTTCCTTTAAGAATCATGACCCATCGAAGACGTGGAAGCTTTGGAGAAAGCCTCAAAACGGATTCATAAACCACAAGTACACGATATGACAGGAACGGGGAGACGTATTTTTTCGTACTCAGGGGTCATAAAACGTCGAGAAAACACGAAAGTATTTATTCTTCGATGGACTCTATTACAATGTTGGATGCTATTGGAATTGCTATTAGAATACCAAAATATCTGGATATCAGTTTTAGTAATTTACAATTTTTGCATGAAAAATATTCGACTAGAATAAGTTGCAAATAAAATTTCCAGATTTTTAAAACTATTTTTTTGTGTTTTTATCTTTGAATGTTTTGAACAGTATATTTAATCTATGTTTCTTTTTTACAGGTAACTCACCACGGAAAAAACAACGTCAGACATTTAAAATTCAGATTAGGGATAGAGTTAGGACACTCCGCAAATTCTGGTCAGTATTGGAAAAATTGTCACTTCTCCATGTGAGTCGTATACTGTTTGACTGTATATTAAATAATGCTCCAGGTGATTTTTTAAAATTTTTGTTCTAGTTGGTCATACCGCTTGAATTTCAGTGCTGACGTACGCGTGATGGCCAATTAGGGCGGAAATAAAAAAATCACAAGGTACTATTCGAATTTCCACCACTTTTTAAATATAGAATGTTAAAGTGTGGACATTTTGAACCATTTCTAGGATTTTCTAGCAACATTTCGGTACATAATATGGTTAATTATTTGGGACAATAGGTTTGTTTATTTAAATGTATATCGTAACAATTTTTTGTGATTTTTTAAATTTTCTTGTCACGGATGGTTTTTCCAGGAGTTAGACAGTACATTATTAATTTGTGGCTGCACAATAACACGTTACTAAGCGGAGAAAGATAAGCGGCGTTGTGGTCTAGTGGTCAGGATACTTGCCCTTCAAGCGGATGGCGTGTGGTTCGAATCTCACCGAGGCAGAAACATTTTTCTTCGCTTACCTTCAAATTCATATTTTACTTGTCATTAACACTGTAGCTAATTTTGAAGTGATCTGAAAACTATGTTATATGTCAAAATCAGTCTTATCTTAGCAAATAACTAGCCCCGCCCACCCGCCCTCTATTTTCTCAGAAGGTATGGCGTTTGCAAAAATAAGTCTTATCTGAGCAAGTCCTAGCCCCGCCCACCCGCCCGTGTTTTCTCATAGGATATATCATTTGCCAAAATAAGACTTATCTTAGCAAGTATTACTCTATGAGAAAAGAGGGGGCGGGTGGGCGGGGCTAGTGCTTGGTAAGATAAGACTGATTTTGGCAAATGATATATGCTCTGAGAAAGTAGGGGGCGGGTGGGCGGGCCTAGTACTTGGTAAGATAAAACTGAATTTGGCAAATGACATATCCTCTGAGAAAATAGAGGGCGGGTGGGCGGGGCTAGTGCTTGATAAGATAAGACTGATTTTGGCAAATGACATATCCTCTGGGAAAATACGGGCGGGTGGGCGGGCTTAGTATTTGTTAAGATAAAACTGATTTTGCCTCTATTAATCTTGTAAAAACTTGTGAAATTTAAATGTGCTAAATTGTAAATTTCCATAGTAACGAGTTAAATTCCTAAGTCTACCCGAAGTGTGCAAAATATGATAAGTTATACTTGTGATTGATTTTAATATATAATTAATATTTTTTAAATTTGCTTATACAGGGCGTCTCAGAAAAATTAATGACTGAGTTGTTAAAAAATAAATATCCAACCAGATTTAGAAATTTAATACCTTACTATGGAAATATGCAATTCAACACATTTTAAATTTAACAAGTTTTTACAAGTTTAATAGGGGCAAAATCAATTTTATCCTTGCAAGTTCTAGCCCCAGCCACCCACCCTCTATTTTCTCAAAGAGTATGACATTTGCCCAAATCAGTCTTATCTTAGCAAATACTAGCCCCGCCCACCCGCCCTCTATTTTCTCAGAGGGTATGGCGTTTGCCAAAATAAGTCTTATGTTATTTTCATAATTGAAATTTAAATTGTTATCCTTGGCGATATTCAAGCCCAATTTGTCATGCTAGGAAAATTCCGTATTTTCTTTTAAGTTTCCTCTTTGTATGTTTCGTTTTCCATTCTGTTATCTGCATAAAATATTCCTTTTGTTTTGCTCTTATTTCCTCTGCAGATTTATCCATACCATTCTATTTTTCTTGCTTGTATTACTTTTATTTACTGTGTTTCCTTGTTTTATTATATCCTCAATTAAAAAAAAATCATTCGAGGTCTGTATTCGCAATTGTTTAGTTTCGTTTCCTATTTTTTTTCTTCTTAAATCTCTTGTCTGTTTTCTATTTTTCTTCTATCTTTTCATGTTTATTTTATTATTTATTTCCGACCATTGTAGCCTTGTTTCCCTTTTCTTATATGAATTGCTTACTTTTTTTACCAAACCAACCGTTGTTTTTGTAGTTTTTTTTGTACCCAGCTCTACCTCTTTTATTTATTGTTCGAGCATCTTCAGTATCTTCATTTTCTATATTTTCGTAGAATGTTTTCTCAACATCTTTAGCACATTATTTTTCGGGCTCTTTTTTATGTATTTTTATTGTTATCCCATTTGTTTTCTTTTCCTTTAACTTTTTTACTTAATGTTTCAATACTTCAGAGAACCTGGTCCAGCAAATATCTACCTGACTCTAGTTACGAGAAGAACTTTTACTTAATTTTTGATTAGTTTTTACTTGACATGTATAGTTTTCTTTCTATAACATGATTCTTAAAAACGTGTTGCACATGGAGAGAAATAAGGATTTTGCTATTAAGCTCCGTCTCTCGGCTCACGACGAATAAAAACAGTTATCACAATTGAGAAAAGGGCGGGTGGGCGGGGTTTGTATTATTCTTTTTTTTCTTATGAGTACATGGTTTTCTTTTCACGACACACTCCATTTTTTCCGAAAATTTGCGAACAAAATACTGTTATTAGAGTTAAACTACATAAATACAGTGTAACTGCATACATTTATAAATTCCATTTCGTTTTTTATACATGTTTTAACTTTCTTGTGGTGAAAAGAAGACTACATATATTAAGAAAAATATAAGCCCCACCCACCCACCCGATCTCAATTGTGATGATTTTTTTTATTCGTCGTGAGCCAAGAGGGCGAAGCTTAATTGCAAAATATTTGTTTTTCTACAAAAAATTACCATGTGAAACATCTTTGGTTATTGTTAACATAATAGGGGTGAGCGGGTTACATATTCTCCAACTGTTTAGTTGGATTGTTTTAATAATTGTTTATTTAAACAATACTACATTCATGGAATTACAAAATTTCTTATAAATTGTAATATAGTATTGTTATATTTAATTAAGGTGTATCGTGTCTAGAAACACGGTTTTCGCAATATTGCAACAATTTTTCGATATAAAATTTTGCCGTTGTCGAACTTCTTACTTATTACGCGCCTGCTTTTTGACTTATTTACTTTCACGTTTTTTCTATTTAGATGGATTTTTAAATTAGAATTTAAAGGGCTCTTATCAGTTTGGACGGGAGTTAAGGCGAGGGATTAAGGCACTCCAGGTACCAATATAACGAGATATGAGATTGGACCGTTTTTTTATTTTAAAAACTGTTTTCCTTATCCTCCATCGTATATTCCGTATTTATCTTTTTCAACCTTTCCTTCTCCAATACATCTTATTTTTTGAATTCCTGCAACTTCTACTTATATCTTCATAAAATTCTAAGATTATAATTATGTTCCAATTCGAACTGTATTTTTATTTTTTATTCGAGTTTCTTTCCTTCCTTCTCCATTGTATTTATCTTCATTGCATCCGTGGATTTCTTGGCTCATTATTTCAACTTTTCCAAATATTTTTATGTTCTCAATATACATCCCTTCATTTTTGTTAATACACAGAGACTCGAAACCTACTTTTACTTGTCCTTCCTTTTTCCCTTCCGTTACTTTTT